TGGACCTCCACTACCAATCCACAACTAGTCCCACCCAACTGCTTCCACTATACAGCTATTTAGACCCTGCTCACTTCCTCAGTAAACGAGACTTGATCAGAAAGCCTGTCTTGTCTCCTTCTCTCGTGTCTCTTGCCCTGTCTTTTTCATCCCCGTTCCTCCTCCAGGTCATTACCCACGTCTCGACTCGCGGGCCGAGTCAGAATTCAATGATGGTTACTGTACAGCATGATGCTATCTTCATATTAGTTGTTCAGGGTACCTGGTATAAATGTGCAAAATTGGTTTAAAGAAAAAACAAAACAATGACAAAAAAAGTTGCAAAAAATTCAAAAGAAAAAGAAATTAAGCATGAACTGCGGCTTTCAAAGGACCAGCAGAAATGGGCAGTGCAGAGATCCAAATAATTCCGCATATATATCTAACTGTATCTTTTGCCCTTCTTCCCCTTGTCCTTTTCCTCATCCCATTTTTCCTTCCCATTGAATAAATTCTTTCTCACAGTATCTGTTGTACCTTTCGGATTTGAATTACTCTTTCAGGTATGCCAAATATTTTTAAAGGATTCTTAAAGAAACAAAATGAGATGATTATTTTAAGATTACATTGTCTAAGGGTAGCAGTAGGCAATACATTAACCGTTGTTACTCTCCCATTACCTTGCTTTGGAAATTTTGTTTTATTATTTTCTCTTTAAAACAAAAAAGACTAAACTATAAAGTTATAGAAATAGCACAGCTTGGTTTTTTTGATTTTTCCTAATGAAATTTACACTTAAAAAGAGGTTTGTGATTCAATGTACTAGATAATTCGAGTTTTAGATTACAAAAGGTTTTCCTTTGGCATATCCCCCTTCTGACACTTAATCCTGAAATGGATCTAACTTTTTCTTCAGCAGAACAATGGGATTAACTGGCATATGCATTATTATTTGATGACATGTCCACTGGATTATACAGATTTTCAAATTTTAATTTTTTAAAATTTATTATTTGGTACAGGGTCTCACTACGCAGCTTGGACTTGTAGTGATCCTCCTGTTTTCAGCCTCCCCAGTACTGGGATTATAGATGTGCTCCACCACGCTAGGACTAAAATTTTAATTTTTCATTTTTTAAGAAACACTGGGGCAGGGGAGATGGCTCTATAGAATAAGCACTTGTCTGGTAAGTGGTTCCACCAAGAAAAGAGAGAGAGAGAGAGAGAGAGAGAGAGAGAGAGAGAGAGAGAGAGAGAGAGATAAAATTTGCAACCTAGGGCCGACCAAATAGCTCAGTGGATTAAAGCTCCTGCAAGCAGGTCCAGGGGCCGCTGTTTGATCCCCGGGTCTGCCATGCCAATCCCGCCCCTGGGGCTCACTGAGCCGGCCACTGAGACTGGGCGTGGTGGCACGCGCCTGGAATCCCAGTTCTTGGGAGGCTGTAGAGAAGAGAATCACTACGAGTCCGATCTAGAAGTGAGACCCTGTAGACCCTTCCCTAAAATACCAAAAAAAAAAAAAAAAAAAAAAAAAAAAAAACCTGTAACTGAGTTTTGGATTATGTACCTGCCTCCACTTTCAAGGTGAGTTTTGGATTATGTACCTGCCTCCACTTTCAAGGAATATGGTCCTCATTTTCTGTGGCTAACAACAATAGTCACTGAGGTGGCATGTTAGCACTTACCTCCATGTGTCATTGACTCCGAGCTGAAAAGTTTGGTTGTTTCTACCTTATTTTTAAATATGAAACATACTTACTGCAATGACTTTTCATTCACCAACTGACTTGAGAGCTCGGTGTAAAAATATGTGCTAGCAAATCACGTCCCTTCGCCCATCAGCCAGCCCTGCCTCCGCCCTGGGAGCCGGCTGCCTGGAGCAGCGCCCACCCTGCCCCGCGGGCGTTCTCCTCTACAGAGGTGCCCTGGCTCGGACCGCGCTGCGCCCTTGCTCGCCGGCCCGTGTCCCCGCCACTCCGTGTCCCCGCCGCCCATGTCCCCGCTGCCCGTGTCCCCGCCTCCCCGTGTCCCCGCCGCCCCGTGTCCCCGCCGCCCCGTGTCCCCACCTCCCCGTGTCCC